CCATGGGCCACTTAAAGCGAAGGTACAGCCAAAAAATCTCATCTGCACTATCTGCCCCCTACTTCACACGTAGCTCATCAGCCAAGACATGTTTGGTGTCTGAACTTTGCTTCTTTAGTTTTGCACTGAAGCTACAAGACCGCATTTAATGAAATTTTAATTTAAAATGTCACGTCAAGTGACTCCACACAGCTGTGTGATGTAGCTTTTAAGATGCAGAACGGGGTAAAATCTACTCAGTGGATTAAGATGAATCAAACACAAGTGAGTTCTAATTAACCGGAATGATTATTTTAATGCATTACTGTAAGATTATACGGTAACTTGCGCTCACAGTCAACAACAGTGTAGCTGGGTGGTGTATAATAACAGTGGAGTATAAGAAAGATGCACACATAATGGAAGGCAGGCACCATGAGGAGGGGGAGTAAAACAAGTAAAACAATATGCCAACAGCAGATGCCAGGAGCCAATAGGAAAGATGCTGAGTTTTACTTAAGCAATAGAACAAGAGAGGGAGTGTGTTATAACATCATCGAAGGCGAGTGCCATAGGTCGTCACAGCCATGATGTTATTTCTATTGCTTTTATACAACAGTTAAATAAATAAAGTAAGAAATTAATAAACTGGGCTGTGAACGCGGCGTTTAATATGTTTTGATGTTCGCAGTTCCTTACGCCAAAGTATAGTTCCTTAACAAGCAGCTTGTTGCTTCGTCAGAGTAACCCACCCCGCCCACTCGCTGCACAGCCAGCAGTGAGCCTCGCCTATGAAGTTCAGACTGAGTCATAAAACTGCCGCAATATCAAGTTTAGCTCAGTTTTGTCATTTTTTGCCAGATCAGTATTAATGTTGTTTTGTTCCAGCCAGTCCGTGAAGCATCTTACAGCCCATTTAGTTTGGCGAATGGTGTTGAGTTCATTTCTGGCTGATTCCAGGTTGTTTAGCTGTTCTTCTGTCACAGCTGCCGACTGAAAAGCTGCTCAGTGGTGATGACAGTTTGGGAATTGAGTGAAGTCTCATCTTTAGAGTCTGACCAGTTCAGCTGTCGGTCAAATGTGATCTTAAAAGTGTCCATTTTCGGTTTGTGCAAAGTAGGAAGTAAAAACGTTCGAATGGCTTGAGCGTCTCCTACAGCTGTCAAAGTCGTTGCTTAGCAACGGCGTCTCAGCGGAGTGATGTGATGTGATGTGTTTGTGAAAAAAAACGTGATGTTATGGTGAAATAACAGCACGATTAGAACGCCTCTCAACCAATCAGCTTGCGTGGCCGGAACTAACAGCTGTATAATCAACAAATTTACACCGACCAAACAAACACGTACGGAGTAAATCTGACAACTCACTTAATTTCATTGAAACAAACCAAATTACTCAGTTATTGACTTGCATTTGTAAAGTAATACCACTGAGAAAAAGAGGATTAAAACCAGGGCGATTTCACTTTTCTGAGAGTGATATACTGCAGCGTTCAAAAGTCTGGATTTGAGCGTTACAATTAAACAACCTGAAAAAATGCTTATCAGTCAACTAACGCAAACTATTAATCAGCATCATCTATAGTACTAATAATAAGAATATAAAAACACAAAAAAAACAATAATATTAATAATTTTTCCACATGGTAATCCAAAAACAGAAGTGGATGTGCTTATTTTACATGCACATTCGTATAAACAAGTGCTGCAACTATTCCATGTTTTTCTTTAAAAACACATTTCGCTGTGCAATAACAGTGTTTAAATATGTTATTTTAGGAAAATAATCACACAACATAATCAAATAATTCTAAGCAGTTTTGTATAATTCAATTTGATCCTTTCCAGTCATTATTTCAATACTATAAAGCAGTTTGTCTCCAATCCTGGTCCTGGAGAGCTCTTTCCCTGCAGAGTTCATTTCCAACTTGTATCCAACTAGCTGCCCCGCCCCTTTCTTAACTCTAATACATCTGATCCAGCCAATCAGGGACTTGGGAAGAGGTTGAATAGCTGGAGGAGGTGTGGCAAACCATGGTTGGAACTGAGGTCTGCAGGAAGGTCACTCTTCAGGAGGAAGGCTGGAGTCCGTAGGGGCACTGCACCCACTGCCCCACCTCAGACTCCCCCGCTATGAGCACAGCTGCTGGCTAACAAGCGATTTATTGGCTCCCAAACAAAACATCTGCATGATATTATTGCCCTTGACTTCACACACTTAAGCTGATTCTTCTCTGCTTATCTCCACACTGCAAAAATTGTGATGAATCAGACGCCGGGAGCTTCACGGCACGGGGTTTACATGGCCAAGCAGCTGCATGCAAACATTACATCACCAAGCATGATGTGGAAACGTATTCTGTGGAGTGACAAATTACGCTTCTCTATCTGCCCATCTGATGGACGGTCGGTTAATGCCAGGAGAACGTTACTGCATTGTGCCAGCTGTAAAGTTTGGTGGAGGAGGGATAATGCTACGGGGTTGTTTCTCAGGGGTTGGTCTAGAACCCTTAGTTCCAGTGAAGGGAAATCTTAATGCTTCAGCACCAAGACATTTTGGACAATTCTATGCTTCCAACTTTGTGGGAACAGTTTGGGAGAGAACCTTTTCTGTTCCACCATGACTGAGTCCCAGTGCACAAAGCAAGGTCCATAAAGGCCTGGCTGGGTGAGTCTGGTGTGGAAGAATGTGACTGGCCCTCACAGAACCCTGACCTCAACCCCATCAAATGAACTAGAATGGAGATTGCGAGACAGGGCCTCTCGTCCAACATCAGTGTCTGACCTCACAAACGCTCTTCTGGATGAATGGGCAAACATTCCCACAGACTCTCTACAAAGTCTTACAGAAAGCTTCCCAGAAGAGTGGAAGCTGTTATAGCTGCAAAGGGGGACCAACTCCATATTAATGCCTATGGATTCAGAATGGGATGTCATAACAGCTCCTGTAGGTGTTGTGTAAGAGTCCTAATACTTTTGTCTATATAGTGTATCTGGTGTCTAGCTTCAGTGCAATCTACACTGTACAGGGCATTACTGTATAACATAATAGCAACTATCATTCTGACATTAATTTGATATTAATTATTAACATTTAAACTTTTGAATGCTAGTGTAGCTGACAAGTAAGGGAAGCTTCTAGCCATCAGTTTAACATCATGCAAACTGCATGCTTAAATCATCACATACTCAAACCGTGCTGAGTAAAGGAACCGTTCCGGCCTAAAACTGGCATATGAATGTTATCTGCTGTGTTGTGCGGTGTTCAGTAGTGCAGCACTGCATCCCTCAGCCTTATTGGTTTGACAGAATTCTGAATATTTTATATCACTTTCTTGCTTTTCTTCATTTTATGACTGTCACAACAATACCCAGCATGCTTTACACAGCTTGTAAAGCATGCTGCTAGCCTAGCCACTGAGCTATTGGCTGATAAACGCAACCAAACTAGCAGTAGTATTACTCTCACATCAGTGAGACACCGATTAACCACACCAGACACTAACAGTGAGGAAAAAGGAGCCACACTGAGGTGAGATATCTAGATAGCAAGTTAAACTGCTAATTTTAGCTTGTTGACTGCATCATCTGATGAGTAATTTCTGTCATTTGATTAGTGCATTCTCTCCATTTTAACAATGAAATGGAGACAATTATTATAGTTATATGGCTGCAATACAATATTCAGCTTCCTAGCAGTAACATTTGCCGTCTCCATCCACCAACCAACCAACCAACCAACCAAATAAATAAATAGATAAATAAATAAACAAACAAACTCACCCCCAAAAAAATCCACCACAAAGCAGACGCAGATGTATTTCCAAGGTTCCTCCCACCTTCATGACACATCATCAGAAGGGGGTTTTACTAGTCTTTAGGCCAGAAATTCTCCCTCTAAAGACCACCACTGCATCTCTGAACACACTTGGAAAAAAAGATGGTTCTTCAAGGGTTCTTTAGTTAGTTATGTAGAACCATGAACACTCAAAGAAGCCTTTGCACCATGAAAGCGTTCTTCAGATTGATGGATAATGTGCTTTAGATGGTTCTATATGGAGTATATATCTGTCTCCTTATAGCACCAAAAGGGGTCCTTTTACTGTTACAAGCTTGACATCGTAACAATAGCAGAACCCTTTTAGGTGCTACATAGAACCCTTTTCAAAAATGGTTCTATATAGGACCATACACAACAGATTCTCCAACGGGCTGAATAACACTTTCACAATGCAAAGAATCCTAATCATGCAAAAGGTTCACTGAGTGTTCATGGTTCTACATAGAACCATTTTCTTTAAAGAACCATCCTTTTTTAAGAATGTAGGATGCAAGTAAGAGATGAAGAGATGGTTAATTTTATTTTGACTGGAGTGTGCCTTTCAGTGATCTCTAATACTTTCACTGTAAGACATACTGTTATCTATAAAAATGGACGATGCAGACAAAACAACATTAGTCTATTTTTCCATGCCAACCGTTACTAGTCTCATAGCTCCATCCACAGCAGTGGAGGTGCTGATGGCCTTTTCAAACAGACGGTTTACGAGGACAGACGAGTGCTGTAGGACTGACAAGGGAACACAGTGCAATGCTTCCAGCATGAAGGCTCAGCTTCTCACGTAGCAGAACATACAGAACGTGTCCCAGCAGGGAGCTCACAGAAAAACGACACAACGCCATCCTGTAATTCTGACAACCACACAGCCTAAAGCCAGAACTGCGGCCCTGGGACAAACTAGCAATTAGTGAGAGGAACCTCCAGGCAATTTTAAGCGTATCCAGACCTTTTCAACCTGTGCGCTGCACTGTTTCTTAACCCACATGTTAACAGATCTGTAATTCGGAACATTTCATCTCCTAATCAATGTCTGTAAACCGGTCTAACTGGACAACAGTTCAGATATGCGCTTAGGGAAGTTTGAGAACAAACATAACACATACATTTGTTCGTATCATAAAGATTTCAAATAAATACAGCAGCAAAATAAGACAGAATTATTCAAATTCATTAATATTCACCCAGATACTCCATCAGTTGCTCTGCTGTTATGATCTCCATCATTGGCGGCAACTTGACCTGAAGGAGAGAAAAGAGAAAAGAAGAGAAATGTGGGTCACTGAGGGAGATTTCAATCCTGTTCCCAAAGCAGTGGTGTGCAGACCTCCCCCGTGTCTCAATTCAGGAACTATGCACTATATAACAGCCTGTACTTGGGCCCACACTTCAGTTTCTCACTCTCCTAACTACATTAATGACATCTTTTTGTGTTATCAGGTCGTCTTTGTTGTTCCTTTTTTAATTTATATCTATTTTTTTACTGTCATATTTAAAAACAATAGCAGTCTGGGGGCCAAGAGGGTTAAACACACCTGATTGAACCCACCAGCTAATTTACAAGGCCTTCATCAACTGAATTCAGAGCATTAGACGTGGGAAAATGTAAATGTCTGCGGAGCTGTGGCCTGGAAGGAGACCAGCTTGACGCACCTGATCTGAGGGCCTGATTAATGTAGGGTAGCATCATCTCAAACTGAGCATCTAATGTTCAGCGCTAAACGGAAATGTCAAACCAACCTCTTATCAGTGAGCCACATCTAGGTTAGCAGCTACTGTTAGCAAGGCTAAGATACTTGTTTACTGTTAGGCTAGAACATTTTGAAATCCTTCGCTGCATGTTGCAAATAGTCTAATGCATATCATTTTGCACAGAAATGTAGTTACTGAACTACAATAATATCTCTTGCTTGAAATTTTTAATATTTGAAACTGCAGCTTCCTCTGAAGATTCTTCGGTTCCTTCTGTTACGTATATCAGCCTTCAGCCGCTGAGCACAGTACGTAAGGTGACTATGGTACAGAATTAACAGAACACTGCAGTACGTTTTATGTTCCCAGTGTAAACACAGCGTGTCATCAAGGCGACCATCCATGGATTAATATCAGATTTTACACACTACTAAAAATACCTGTATTGTTGTTTGTTTGTATTTAAAGTTTGTTTAAAGCATAGTTGATGCTGAGATGTGTGTGCTGTAGCCAAGAAAGCACAAAAAATAAGAAATAAAAATGCAAAAACATATAATACCAGGGAGTTACAGACAAAACTACTGATGTATGGACTTGTATAATTGATTTTGTCAGAGAACTTACTATGTTCCTCTATTAAGCAAAGATCTATAATTAATATATTGCTATTATTATTATTATTGTTGTTATTGCTATTATTTATTATATAATTTAATCTATATTTCTTATAACCAATGCTTTATGTGCACTCTTACCACATGGCATTACTATACTGTCTGTGTTTTAAGAACATAGCATACAGTTCATATTCAGAATCTACACTACAAAAACGAGCCCGTTTTTGAATTCGTTGTTTCTGTGATGTTACGAGAACAAACTAATTTACATAGATTTGCCTATTCAGCCCATCCCAATTGAAGTTATAAGGAGCAAACACCTCCATACATCAGCTTTAAAGTCTGTGTAACAAAACCAGTATTATCTGTATCATTCTGAGGGATAAAGAGAGGTTGGAAAAATGGTCATATAAAAACTAATTATGACTTTCTGGTACATAAAACCACACAAATGGACATCAGGGGAAAGGAAATACATGAAAATGCAGGATATGACCCATTTAAATAAAGTTAACAGACAACAAAACAATACAATAAAACATAGCTACAAAAAACACAACTGTCAATTAATAAAAAAAGCAAATTATTGATGATATTTATGTAACTTAAAACCTAATTCAAACAAGCTGCTAAAGTTTCAAATGCATCTGTAAGTTGATGGGACACTGTGAGGAAAGGCTGCTTTGCCAAATTCATATTTTACCATCTGAACATCAAAATGAATGTAACCATAAAACCGCAGGGTGAAACTTGTGTTGTTCGTTAAAGAAAATGCATATAAATATAAGGGAAGCTGACCAATAATAGCTGAAAACACCCCAGTATTTGCCATTGCATTAACTTCCATTTGAGAAAACCACCCTCCTGCACATTTTAGTGCACTCACGTCACCTCAGGAAGGGCTTCTGAACAAGCCAATTAGTTGGATCAGGAGCATCAAAGCAGGGAAAACATCGAAAAAAAAGGACAGGGCTACTCCAGGACCAGGACTGGAACCACAGTCTTAAAGGCTGCACCTGTAGAGCTCGCAGCAGTGAGTTAAGGCCTGGAGGGCTGCTGCGTCAGCTCCCGTAGGCCACAGACACAGACCAGTCGTTCCAATCAGGCTAGTGTGCTTAAAACCGGTCCCCACGGTGGCAATCATCTCCACAAACCGTGGTGAGTTTTCAAAAGCAGTTGTGCGAGGCTGAGAGACACGGAGTCTCATTTCGAAGATTAAAGAATGAACACTCGAAAGGAGCCTCTGCGGCCTGCCAGCTAGCCGTCAAACGCAGTAATTAAACGTTATCTTTATGATGCAAATGAGTCGAAGGCAGAAATCCAGAACGCGGCCCTGTTTGTGACCGTGCAGGGACTGCTTAGCAGAGCCACACAGGAAACGAGAGGCTACCACGACAGAAAAATAACATCTTTTAAATAGCTGGAGGAGCAGAACTTGTCAAGAGGAAAATCTGATCAAATGCAGCGCAGGACGTTTTGGGGTCTGATTAAATTTCCAGACTCCAAAAGACTGCCAATCTCAAAAGATAATTAAAAAAAGAGGGGCCGGAATGAAAAGAGGCACAAAGAGACACTTTTTTTTGGTCTTTTTGATAATTATAAGCCGTTCAATGTCAGCGATGACAGAATAATTCAGGATGTGCTCCGCTGAGTATTAAATTGCATGCCAACAGTGGAAGGAAATAAACGTTCCTTACACTGAATTATGAACTTTCTGCATAGTTACTATCCGAAACGAACAGTGAACCTGCAGGTGTCCGCATGAATCAGACGTTTTCTTTGGGAACTATTTTGACTTGCAATACCCTGCGTGTGCCCTTTTGCCATGAATAGATTTAATAATATACATACATTTGAGGCAAAATCTTCTTATTACCTTAAAATAACGTCTGAGGCATCAGGTGGTGAATTCGTAACCATTTCACGTACTAACCTGAGGGAGGTTTTAGAGGCATTAAGTGCTTTAGACGTCTGGTTCCTATCGCCACCACTGTGAGCAATTCCGACTTTGTACATTTCTCTAAAACGGAGCATTTCACACAAAAAACGATCTGAAAGACTTTGTTTACACTGTAATAACGTAATTATGCAGGAATTTTGAAAACAGCATGGAGTTGTCCTTTAACAGACTATTGTTTTGATTTTTTTCCCCTTGCTGTACATACGCATGGACAAAGGCAAGGATTCAAAACAAACAGCAGGGCTGAAAAGTTATCCCTGCATTAGTTCTGCAAGTGTTTCAGTCACTTATAAGGTTTGCTTCTGTGGTCGTGCGCTGCAGCTGCAAGGCTCTTAGTTGTTAAGTAATCTCAAACAGACTTGTTTTTGTGGTTTCTGACACTGTATGACAAAGCGTTCAAGATCACTTACAAGACGCAGCACAGTCCAGCTGTTTTTTTCCATAAACAAGAACCTTTGGTTGACCAGCGGTGAATCCTAGGAGAGATATGTTTTTAAAAACAACACCCAACAATCAGCACGCCCTCAATTTACCTTCCAGGCCAACAGAAGGACATTCATAATGGCCAGCAAAGGGCAGGGCCCATTCTCGTTCTGGGTGATGATGGGCGTGTTCTCCTCTTTCCACCTGATCCACTTGATGTGGTATATGGACTGTCCAGCTCCTCGGTCCTTGCAGCAGGCCACCTTCTTCTCTTCCCCAACAGCTGAGGAGGCCAGACCCCTTTCCTCCTCCAGGCCTTCTCCGTTCACCTCCGAGCTGGGGCAGGAGTTCAGGATGGAGGAAGAGTCCAGAGAATCTGGACTGGGAGATGGTTCACTTCCACTGACCAAAGGGCCAGCAGAGGCCGGCTCAGAGAGCTCCTCCACCAGCGCCTGGCCTCCATGGTCCATCCCGTCTGACTGGATGTCTCCAGCCCCCACATCAGGCACAGCGGGCTCCACTCTGCTCTCTCTGGTTTGTTTGGACTCTAACTGAGTGGACTGTGTTGAAAGGACCTGGGCTGGTCCACCAGAAGCCCCGGCTGGCCCGCACCCCGGCCCGTTGCTGCACGCCTCACCGGATTTCCCTGCTCCAGGCAGCGGGGCCTCGGCCTGCGTGAAGCCGAGGTTGGGTGAGCCTGGCTCGGCCACTCCGCCGCCGTTCTTTCGCTCCGTCTGCTGGTCACCGCCGGGGCTCTCCCCCGCGCACAGATCCTTCTTCCCAGCACCTCCGGCCGCCCAGACCTCCCCAGGCTCCGCCGGGACGGTGGCGCACACCGAGCTCCCGCCGGAGTCCCGGTGCAGGTTCGCATTTTTCTCCATTTCGGGCTTCAGCACTGCGGCTCCGCGCTCAGCTCCATCCGCGCCATGACACCGCCACCGCCGAGTCTGACGTCACCGCGCACTGGACCCGCCCCTCCCTCACTGGAGCTCCGACCGATCAGCGCGCAGGACACAGTAATAAATAAACCCAAACCACAATATAGTTTTAGTGTTTATTAATGTTTTCTCTGTGATTTGTTCTTCAAATATAACACAATAAAACGCCTAAAAAATCTACATGAATAAATGACATAATTATTGTATTATTTCTCTTTAACCTGATCTAACTGATGAAAATTATTCATTTTTAAAAGACGATAAACTTAAAAACATTTTTTTTATTTAAAGATATGATAATGGTACAAAATGATGTAAGAAAATTCTATGATATTTCATCGTATTGTAACAAGAAACATAGAAAAAATATAGTAGTTTAAGTAGTTGGATATATTTTATTTTATATACATTTCATATAAAAATTGATCGATGAAAATGAAGGTTTCTTACTTTTTATAATGTATATAACAGAATAATTAAGAGCTCATATTTTAATAAAGATGTAATACATAACCATCACTGTCTTACATATTTGAAACATATCATGAAATAAAGCAAAATTTTATTTCATTTTTATACCACTGTCATCATATTGTAACAAAGATGTCATAGATAACTATCACTATTTTACATATTCATAATAATATGATGAAGTTATTTCTTATTTAATATATTTGCATGTTATATATAAAATATTCTATATTGTATTTTCATGGAAATATTACAGTTGTTGGAATACAGTGGTTATTTATGTATTTATTTGTTTGTTTTAGAGATTTTTTTATTTTATTATTTATTATTAATCTTTTTTATTATAATACTGGTTTTACAATAAAGGTTGACTCTAAATGCGCTCTGGAAGTGACCTGGTTAAGTGTTTCCCATTTATTTGTGTTTGTTTTGCATTAATTTGCATGGAGAGAACTCATCAGTAAATCAGTGTTTATCTGTATGGCTGTTATATGATCGAATATAAAACTCGCTGTACATGCAAACAGGCCTGCTCGCCTTCAGTGCAATATTTATTTTCACCGCATGATGGCGACACTTACTTGCGATATTGTTCCAGGATCCAGTGAAGTGAATGATCACTGATCAGGGTCCTGGACCCCTCAAAGCTGCATTCAGATTCAGTTTTGACAAGTTCTGATTCAACTGTCACAAATGTGTATTAAAATTTGATACCTTGAAATTCTAATCTCATCATTGTTTCTTCGATTTCTAACTTTAAAATTGAATTATTACTTGTTAGAGTATTTTACTTGTATATATATTTTTGGACATAGTTAGCAGTAACTTGTTCAATATGCTAATAATTAGAGGGCTGATGGCAATATTTGGTATCTTATATGTGTGCGTATGTTGATTTTATGTATTATAAAATTAGATTTTTTTTACTATGAAATGAACATGTAATATCTCACCATGTCAAAACTGCTCTTACGTATGAAAGTAAGTACATTGGCACATGTTAAAGTAGCATATCTGCAAAACTGACCTTCCATAAATTCCTAAAATAAACTGGGGAAAGTCATAAATCCTTACTTGATGAAAATAAGATTTTTTTTTGCATCTGACAGCAGGATTTTTACTGAGCACATCAGTTTGTAGGTCTAACAAAGATCTGCTCTCCTGAGTGGAAATGTATGAGTTCTGAAGGCAAAGAGCTTTGTGATGTTTTTCCATTTGTACTTTTGTGTTTAAAGTTCTGACAAATCAGAAAATGTGTGTAAAACAGTTATGAAAAAGTACAAAACTCTGAGTTTTGAAATGGTCAAATATTAAATGTTAATGGTAAAAAAAATCTCAATTTCCACATTTTATGAACATGTGAGTATCAGCATCGACACATACAGACATGTAAAATATTGAATATTGTCATCGGCCAAGAAAGGCCCATATCGGTACATCTCTAATTATAACCACGTTCAACAAGTCTAGTAAAAAAACAGAAGGACTGTCACTGAAGAGCACCTAACTGAATTTTTTATTCATCAAATTTGAGTTCTTACATATAAAAGTGAAACATTCCATTCTTAGAATAAGTACTAATTTAATTTCAAAGTTAGAAATCAGGGAAATGATGATAATCGTAATTTTACCATCAATTCAAATGTGTTAAAACTGAATTTGAATGGAGGATTATTTTTTTCTTTTTTTTTAATTGATGCAATTAGTCAAGTCAAGTCAGCTTTATTGTCAATACTACAATATGTACAGGACATTGAAATTGCGTTACTCCCCATGGTGTAGCAATAACATTAAATAGAAAGTAAACAGGAAAAGTGTAAAAAATATATAAATATAGAAGGTCCTGAAATTAACACTAAAGTGACATAAGGCACATACAGATTAAGGTCTGTGGGTATAAATAGTGCAAATATAAACAGTAGTGCAATTAGACTGAGCTAATGGAGCTGTTAAAGTGATGAGTGCGTAACAGAAAGAATTATTCACAACAATCACAACACACCTCGCTGCTACGCTTGAATGCGTCAATGAACAGCAGCAAAATGATCTAAACAACACAAAGTGAAATAAAATGAATAAATAAACAAGATAAATAAATAACAAAAAGATAATCCAGACATTGAGGGATCCAGAATACGCTGTGAAGCTCCAGATGTTTGAGGAAACCGCTGCTCTTCTTATTATATGTCATTTTACTGGAATGCAGGGCTCTTATGGCTCTCATTGCTCTTATTATTGTTGTTGTTGTTGTTATTAGTGTAAAGTGGGCGGAGCTAACCCCTCCTCGCCCCTCCTGCTTCTGACGCCAGCCTGTTTGACGTCATTCCCTTGGAGACGGGGCTCTGGTGCCGCAGAGCAGTAGCTGCCGTAAAGCCGAGCGGAGAGCGGGCGGCGGATGAAGCAGGCAGCGCTATGGATTTAACACACAGCGCCTTCATTAAACTCTTTCTGCTCTTGTACTGCTTAAGCGACAGCAGAGGTGAGTTTAAGCGGCTGTTTTCCTGTCGTTAATGTCTGTAAGAAAGTGTGAGAGCTCTCTAATCCGCCTGAGGCTGAAGTTGGTTTCTTATTCGTTCGAATTCCCCGTTCCACCTTAAATGGCGCAGCCGTTACATTGTAGAGCCCGCGGCGCCAGACTGGAACTGCTGCACCGTTTAAGGTGGAACGGGGAAATTCGAACAAGCAGCGTTAATGGGTGCGGAAGTGAATTTCCATTTCATCTCTGTCCTACAAACAACTACATTTCTTCATCGTTTTGGGTAGAAATCCTCAACGACACACTGTATTAACGACAACACGGAGCCCATTTTGAACGTAATGTCTGTAATCTGCGTAAAAGTGGGGAAAATATCGCGCAGTTTTGTTCTCGCTGACTGTCAACTACAGCCGCCTAACTCACTAACCTAGCTAGGTTAGGTTAACTCCTCCCGTCTAACTTGCAGTCACTCTTGAACTAAGCAACAACAAACTGTTCAGTGTGGACTCACTAACTCGTTAGACAGCTGACACAGTGAATTTAACCGTGTTTACCTCCACATAAGTTTACAAAGTGCCTTGAAAAATCAAGTGGAAACACTCTGCTGTTGTTTGTTGTTAGGGCTGGGCGATACAGCGGTATTTCTGCCGTTATCGCGATAAATTACGTTACAATATAGTTTTCCGAGCTTGCAAGACACGCCGTCAGCGTTTAAACTAGGAATCCCATCGATTTTTTTTAAACATATCCACCCAGTTTAATAGTTAAGATGTAAACAAAGTCATTCAGAGCGGTTTGGTGTGAAACGCTCCGTTCTAGAGACACTTGCCGAGTCAGAATTGTTCACAGTGGTGGTGGTAGGAACCAGACGTCCACCTCTGAAAGCTGCCTCAGAGAAAGTTTTTCTGTAAAGTGGTTAGATATTCGCCGCTGGATGTCTGACTCATTGTTTTCTGATGGTTTTGTGATAACGTTTTGGCTTAAAATGTATTTGAATCCATTTGTTTGAAACCATTAATGGCAGAGGGATACATGCAGGATGTTGTAAGGCAAAATAGTCCCCAAAGAAAACTTACTGTCTTACTATCATCAGCATTACCTGTAAAACTCAGAAGACACGTGTTGGTTCACTGCTGGTTTTGCATAGAAAATAATGTGGCTATAGTTGTGTTGTAGACATGGTGACCCCTGGTTCCTATCACCACCACTGTAAAGAAATCTGAGTCTGCAAGTTTCTCTACAATGAACCATTTCACACCAAACCACTCTGAATGACTCTGTTTACAACTCAACGACTGAATTATTCCGAAATTTTGAATTTGGAATTCTCCTTTAATGACAGCAACAGTTTAAATGGGTAGAAATTTGGGAAATTCTGTGGAATTCCTCTTTAAAGGACACTGTCCATCCATGTTTCATTGGAAAGTGGGTATAATTAGTCCTGTTTAATAGTATTTAGTGCAGTGCAGTGTGTGCCATGTTGAATAAAAATCATAGTTTTTGATAAGCAGCTGGATCAGTTATTCACTTTCATCTTATTAAACATCAGAAAAACAATACATGAAACAAAATAAAGTGTTTGTGATGCAAATCTCTAAGTATTGTGACACATTTTTGCCTTACTGCCCAACCCTAGCGTGTAATCTCAAAACTGGATGAAGGAGACATTGGAAAGAAATATGAGATGTTATCGTTCACTCTCAGTCAGGCATGTATTTGGAAAATACTGGGTTTGTACACAAACCTGTTGGTGGTTTTTCAACGGTGAAGATGAGGATGATGATTACAAAGAGGGCCCCCTTGGCAGAGACACAGCTTTCCTTGTGTTTACAGTCCTTAAGCTCCGCCATTATACGATACATTCCGACTGTGATAAGGCAGAGACTTAATATTTTGGTGGTGTATTTTAAAGTACCCTTATCATGGAAATATACAGTGACGAGGTGATATATATGTAAATATTGCTGTTGTCGGAAGAAAACCATGCATCTCAGTTTTTGACATAATTTGAAAATACCTGTTGTCCTTTACATTGTTTGTGAATTTCATGATGAGTGGACCAAAAGAAACGGCCCAAAATGACCTGTAAAAAAGTCTGGTTCCATTGACTTACATTAGAGGTAAAGTAGGTTTTTTCCTTCTCCTGTAAAGTTGCCATTTTGGAGATACAAGGTTTTCTTCCGACAACAGTGATGCATTTTAAAGTATCCTTATCATGTAAATCTGATTTTTTTAAAATAAGAGAGTGATGTAGTGTGGTAGAAAACATTGCGGACGTTTGGAAACATCCACACCACTGTTCGTACTGTCCATATTTGGAAACCAAGCTGCAAAAACGGTGCATTTTGAATACACCGTTTTTGTGATGTCACAAAAACCAATACATTTTCACACTCACATTTTCAGCTTACAACATTTTAGCCCCACCTGTTCACATTGAAGTTATAAGAAGTGTTTAATTCCACAGTGTTTGTTGATTGAGACGCAACAGAGGGCAGCCAATCAGAACAGAGCTCATTTACTTCTATCAGTTATGAAGGGACAGTAACGAAAGCAGTCTGTTTAATTGTTAGGGATAATAAAAGGTTGGAAAATTGTCATTTAAGAATTATTTTTAGTACATAAATGCAAACAGAAATGTTGTAAGTGGGCCTCGGAGGGGAGAAAATATGAGGAAGCGTGTGGTTTGAGCCCTTTAAATTGTCACTATAAAGTGATTGATATGGTTCCCTTCAGCAGTACATGGCCTATACAAGTCCAAGTCCTCTTGTATGTGTGTTGTTTTTGTTTCAGTTACTGATTCCGTTTGTGACAGTGAGCCATAATAAATGAAAACCCTGAGATGTTTACTGCCATCACTGAGCATTGACCTTAAAGCAGGTTGAGGAATAAGTGCTAAAAGTCTAAAAGTGCTCTAAAATAAAGTTTTAGCTTTGTGATATAAGTCAGTGTGTGTATACTGGATTGGTAGAATTGCAGCCTTTGCATGAGTCAGAATGAGGGTATTGTCAGACCCATGTTACAAATGCACTTATAGTATCACTGCCGGCTTTTCCTGCCTGTTGCAGTACAGTATCACAATAATGACTGTCAGGCAGGACAAGTCGAGGCCTGATTTCAGGATAATAGAAGGAGTAGGAAGCAGCATTTGCTGACATTGATGACAATCTGTGTCTCTTGTCTAGTTTTTTAGGCCATGTATAAACCCAGCAGAAAGAGGAGCAAGTGTTAGACTTTCCTATATGGTTATTAAAAGAATGTGTTAAAAATCAAATTTGCACATTTTCCCGCTCAGCCCGAAATGTAGCTGATCAGCCAAGACACGTTTAGTGTCCAAAGTTTGCTTCTTTAGCTTTGCACTGGAACTAGAACCCTTAAATTGCTGTGGAACAGTTTGTGTAGGTTCTTTTAAACCTCTAAAGGGCCTGTAACCCACATTTCTAATGTCCCATGAGGTCTATTTTTTGACATTTGTGTGGTTGTAATTCCTCTTTTACAAGACCATTTTCTCAAACTATTTTTATCCCTTAGAATTAAACATGCTGTTTTGTTTTGTTTGTTTTATTTATTTTTACTGTGCCTTTAACCCTGATATGTAAATGAGCTCTATACTGATTGGCTGCAATGTATTGTGCCTCATTTAAAAAGCTGTCCCGGCTATAACATTGCTTATAACTTGGTGTGAATGGACAGAGCTAAGCTGCTGTAGGCTATATATATTTATTGCTGCTGTCGGAACAAAGCCTCATATCTCCAAAATGAGAACTACTGTGGTTTTACTGTAAGTCAATGGAACGAGACCTTTTTTCCAAGATATTTTGGGCTGTTTCTTTTGGTCCATTCATCATGAAATTTATACAGTATATAAAGTATATAAATAACAAAACTGCGGATCCAAGGTTTTGTTTCCGACAGCAGCGGAACTATATGTGTATTTATGTTTATATATGTATATATAACTTTTATTTATATATATATAGTTATTTAAACAACAGCGACGTGTTCAGTACTAAAGGGCTGCTATATTGTAAGGTGTGTGTGTGTGTGTGTGTGTGTGTGTAAACATGTTGACTTTCAAGACATCACAAAACCAGTGAATTTAGAATGAGCAGATTAATTTCCATGTATTGAAATAAATGGTATGTTTGAAACTTTCACAGTATTTACGTACTACATCAAACTGTTTTATTGCTTTAACACTAAAAATTAGATTTTGAAATTGACGCAGTAATAAAAGGTTCTTCAAACTCACACATCCCTTTTTTTAAACATGAGTCTTCAGGGCTGTGATTGTCAAACTGGTCCTCAGGGCCCCCCAGACGGTCCACTTTTGTTTTCCAATTTAACAATCTAAGTGCTTACCTATAAAATGTACACTGAAGGCCAGAGGACCTGTTTGAGAACTACTGATTCAGGGAAGCTTCTTCTGTAGCATATTCTATATCTTTTTTGAAAGAGTATGTTTTTAGCCTCGTAGCTCCAGTGCAAAACTGAAGAAGCAAGTGTCTGACACCAAACATGATGGCTGATCTGCATTTGAAACTACTCCTTTAAATAGTGGAGATCAACTAATATCTTACTTTCGGTTGTCTTTCGTAATCAGTCATACCTCTCCGCCCATTTATTGCCAGTTGAGACCAGTTAATGATGTGTAAGAAGCCCAAGGAACATTGCAAAACATGTGGTGAAGAAAGCTGGTGCAGGTCATTACACAGGAAACCTCACAGAGAGCGGAATCATTTGAGTCATTTCTTAGACATGACGCCAGAGCTACTGCTCGCTTTTCTGCTTCACGTTGTTCGAGGAAATGCATGTTTGGCATTTTTGTATTGACTGGGCTGGAGGGCTCTGGGGTTTTATCTTCCCCCTGTACACAGTTTCCATGTTTTCTCTGTTTGCTCTGAGCTTATATTTGCTTGTCGTTGTTGGGACATAATCTGGAAAAATGCTGACCTTTATGTTGTGTGAGCATTTAATGATGAACGAGCCAATAGAAATGTTTC